TCTCTCTCATGGGCAACTAGCCGAGTAGGAGGTTATTTTTTAAAGTAAGAACCCTACTATTTTGATAAGCCCCCTTCTCAAACAAACGCCCCTCCCATTCAGATAGTTGTTTATATCTTCCGACATCATTGTTGGCACCCAGCCATAGCGACAAACCGTTTTCACGCGGATTTTTTCTTGCCTTGATTTGAGGTGTAAACTAGGTACACAGCAAGATTATGGTACCTTTTAAAGGTTCCATCCAAAATTTCTAGCAATAGCCGCCTCGACCATGTTTTCCCGCGGAGAAAGAATGAAAGATTGAAAGACAAACTAGAGAAATTTCGATCAGCTCAAGCCGTCACTCTAAGGTCAGCGGAAAATTACATAATTTATGCGCGCGAGCAGACACCAGCTCCATGGCAACAACTCCCGCTCAAACTTCAGAAAATGGCAGTGCAATGTTTTTGTGATATAGATCGTACAAAAATTGCACAAATTCTGGAAAGTGAACGTATTTTAAATCGGTAATGATACATCAAAGGAAGGAAAAGTTATCCATTGAACGGAAAATTTTGTCACAATAATGCCTCAAGGAAAGCTTCGTGGAGGAGGGCTTCGCGGAGAAGTTCAATCCACTGTACGAGAGAGCTATGGAGGCAAAGCAGTTTCTTCTAACTTCAAAAGCCGTGTTGTTCATCCAAGAAATCCTAAACTTGTGAAAGGAAGTCCTGAAGATGACAAGGTAAATGCTAATCTTAGAGCGCTGTTGGGAATTTTGTCGTGGTATGATGGAAGTTAGCACAAATAGATCTTGAGCACAAATCATATTTGACGCTCTCGTAATGGTTATTTATTAAGATTAAGACAGCTTATATCGAGTCTTGATTTATTCTGTAGTTGCAATGTTATCTATTTATTCACTTTACTCGATAAGCTGAAATTTTGCACAGCCATTGGTCAGTGTTAGGTCTGTGGAAACGTGCAGACTGCAAACAACTCGAAGTGAGTTTTATGTGATTCACAGCTGTGTACTTATTAACTGGATAAGTGAATTCTGCAGTCTGAACTTTTCACATAAGCTGACTGAGAATTGAACTATTTTTTTAATCTGCCTAAGAGCGAGTAGTAACTACATGTACAAGTAAATCATACGCACTGCACATTTGCAGTGCANATTTGAGGTGTAAACTAGGTACACAGCAAGATTATGGTACCTTTTAAAGGTTCCATCCAAAATTTCTAGCAATAGCCGCCTCGACCATGTTTTCCCGCGGAGAAAGAATGAAAGATTGAAAGACAAACTAGAGAAATTTCGATCAGCTCAAGCCGTCACTCTAAGGTCAGCGGAAAATTACATAATTTATGCGCGCGAGCAGACACCAGCTCCATGGCAACAACTCCCGCTCAAACTTCAGAAAATGGCAGTGCAATGTTTTTGTGATATAGATCGTACAAAAATTGCACAAATTCTGGAAAGTGAACGTATTTTAAATCGGTAATGATACATCAAAGGAAGGAAAAGTTATCCATTGAACGGAAAATTTTGTCACAATAATGCCTCAAGGAAAGCTTCGTGGAGGAGGGCTTCGCGGAGAAGTTCAATCCACTGTACGAGAGAGCTATGGAGGCAAAGCAGTTTCTTCTAACTTCAAAAGCCGTGTTGTTCATCCAAGAAATCCTAAACTTGTGAAAGGAAGTCCTGAAGATGACAAGGTAAATGCTAATCTTAAAGCGCTGTTAGGAATTTTGTCGTGGTATGATGGAAGTTATCACAAATAGATCTTGAGCGCAAATCACATTTGACGCTCTCGTAATGGTAATTTATTAAGATTAAGACTTAGCTTATATCGAGTCTTGATTTATTCTGTAGTTGCAATGTTATCTAGTTATTCACTTTACTCGATAAGCTGAAATTTTGCACAGCCATCGGCCAGTGTTAGGTCGGTGGAAACGTGTAGACTGCAAACAACTCGAAGTGAGTTTTATTTGATTCACAGCTGTTTACTTATTAACTGCATAAGTGAATTCTGCAGTCTGAACTTTTCACATCAGCTGACTGAGAATTGAACTATTTTCTTAATCTGCCTAAGAGCGAGTAGTAAATACATGTACAAGTAAATCATATGCACTGCACATTTGCAGTGCAATTATCCTAGTAAAACAGTGATATTGAGAAACATCTGTCTGTTAATTTAACGTACACATGTAGCAAGCACCATCTGCTTACATGGCTGAAATGCAGCTCACCACAGATGAAAGATTAAAGCTCACATACGAGATGAGGGTGCCTCAGATCATTGAATTACTGGACATGTCAGAACAGACTCTTCAGAAGGTCAGAGCTCATAGAAGTAATAGGGACCATTAGATTGAGTGGACTATGAGTACAAGATTAAGAATGAGTACTATTTTCAAATTTCAAACCAGTGACGCTCCAAGAGATCTTGCTCTTCTTGTTGGTTTTAGGTTGAGAGGGTATCTCATGGGATGAGATGGGTACGTGATGTGATAATGTGGAGCCTGCAAACTAGAATTGAAAGTCATACTCATAGTCAATCTCGTACTTGTACTCAAAGCTTAAGTCCCCTATTATGCATAAAATTAATCATGGTGTTTATACACCGGTGTAACAGGTTGCTGTACGTAGTCCTGATTGGTTTTGGCTGTGTAAGAGTGACATTACACAGTCCAAAGTCAAGATATCAGGAATGAAATAAAATGATGATGTTGTTGTTACAGTCATGTATAGGGCAGGAAAAGAAAATTTGAAATCCACTTGTCCAGTGGGCTTGTAAATTTCAGATTTCACTTGCACTCACTTAAATGTTACTTGCCGAGGTGGCAGCTATTATGGCAATCAGAGGACAGACATGAACAAAGTATGGTTGGATTTTCAACTCAATGTCTTACTCATCTTGCAGTCTTAACTTTTGAAATATTCTCTGACTGGAAATAACCATTTTCAAGCTGACATTTTCATTCAAATTCACAAGACTACTGAGGCTACATGTAAATTTCACTTGCCTGCCAGGCCACTGAACTTCTATTTTCACTTGCCAAAAAGCAACATTTACTTGCCCTGGGTAATCGGACCTGGATTTTTTCCGGCCCGGTTTGTAGACATTTTAATTTATAGAACTTCAATTAAATTATTACTATAATATTTGAATTTTGATTTGCCCGTCAGGCTCACCTGGCTTAGAAGTGACCACACACTAAAAACTCTTGTCTCATATTAGTGTAGTTTTGGATTGTTTCATATGAAAAATGTTTGCTATATACTCATACAGTACGGTAGCTAGGGTGATGGGAGATATGGTGGTCTGTTGGTACAAAGTGTATATGCACTAGACTTAGGATTGATGGATATGGGTTTAAGACAGGGTAAGGATCACTCCTGTGTGGGTATAAGCCACTTAACTCGCGCAGTTCTTCTCTCAGCCAAGAAGCATATACATGTATATGTTGTGGTTTAATTTTAGCCCCCTGGTACAATCCGGTATTTCCCTTTGCTTTATATTCGTTATCGTATTATTATTACCATACATTGGAACAAAGGAAACTGTCAAATTGTACCAAGGGTATATGCTGTAGCACCA